GTCCCAATCCTATTTTCCGCGTGACGGAGATTTATAGTATTTTATATACATTTGTGAAGAAAAGGGTTTTAATCTAGCCTCAATTGTTGTTGAAAAATAAATATTGAGTTAAGACAAACTGATTCAAACTGCTGTGCAAAGTATGAGTGACGGGGATTCACCATTTTAAGAGATATTTGAGGATAAGTTGCGAAACGAATTTGTGACCGCAATAGTACATCCATTTATACATCCATTCACCCCTCCACCCAAAAAAAAAATAAAAAAAATAAACCCACAAACAAACAAACAAGAAAAACAAACAAACAAACAAATTAATCTACATACATCATCACCATCATCCTTAAGTTCCAGATCTGAAACAGACGTCGGCAACCTTGGTTCTCCATTCATTTTTCCTCTCGAACGCTTTAAAATACAAAAACAAAAACAAAGAACACAAGAAAATAAGAAACTACGTATTATCATCCTGGTGTTTTCCCGTCACCCATCAGTTCAGGTTTCCCCAAAAGAGTTGCTCTACCCCTGCTTCGTTTTCCAGTAAGAACAAGATGTTTACAGCCTCTATTATGTCGATTCTAGTGTCCCAGAGACTGAAATGTAACGTTACCTTATATTGTTTGTGTTAATGGGCAGCCCACGTGAGCTTCTTTCAGTCCTTCCTCCGTTGATTTCTCTACCTTCCCTGAAATTCTCAAAAATCGCTCTGGAAACTGTATTTCTATGGCTTCTAGTTTACTGCCACGATCTTTGGTAAATTGAAAAGCTATCAAACAAACAAACACAAATGACCACAGCCCACGTAAATTTTTTTCTCCCAACACGCAGGGTTATCTGAAATTCTCAAAATCTCCCTTGAAACCACACTTTTGTTGCTTCTAGTTTATTGTCACTAGCTTTGGTTAACTGCCCAGGAATCACCCAAACAAACAAACAATCATCCAAACAAACAAGCTAACAAACAAACAAAAAAACAAAAACGACCACAACTGACCACAACCCACGAACACTTTCTGCCCCCAACACGCAGGGTTCTCTGAAATTCTCAAAAATCTCCATAGAAACCACATTTTTGTAGCTTTTAGGTAAACTGCCAAGCAATCACACAAACAAACAAACAAACAAACAAACAAACAAACAAACAAACAAACAAACAAACAAACAAACAAACAAACAAACAAAACCGACCACAACCCGCGTCCACTTCCTTCCCCCAACACACAGGTCTCGGTATAACCAGAGGATGAAACAACTGACCTGGTGGAAGATCGACATGGATGAGTTACAGCCCATGAAGAGGAACCTGACCAAATCTACCTTCTCCTCCATCCTAAGACAGGTCAGCGAGTTGCCAGTCCATTGTGGCTGTGAATGTTTTACGCCGATATCGAAACAATTTAGATATATAACTGTGACTCCAAATATCCGACCCCTATATCGTCATAAATTAGATAATTATGACTATAACATTTTTATATCTCTATCGACACAAGGTATGACTTCAGACATTCCACGACTATACATGTATTGTCATAAATTAGAGAATTATGATTATAGTACTCTTGCAATTCTATAGATACAATGTAGACAATAAGGACTGCGGATAGTCTACACCTAAATCGTCATATTCTGGATAATTATGACTATAACATTTTTACATCTCTATCGACAAAATTTACATTATTATGACTGCCGATTCGGATATTTTTAGCCTATATCGTCACAATTTAGTTAATTATGACTATAACACTTTTATATCTCTATGGATAAAATTTAGATAATCATGACTGCAAATATCCGACGCCTATATCATCATAAATTAGATAAGTATGACTATAACACTCTTGCGCCTCTATAGACACAGTTTAGATAACAAATAAATGCAGATATTTTTCATCTGTATCGTCATAATGTATATAATTATGACTAAATGTTATACACCTCTATCTATCGACGTAATTTAGATAATTAACTCTGTAAATTAATGTTATACGCCTCTATCTATCGACGTAATTTAGATAATTAACTCTGTAAATGTTATGCGCCTTTATCTATCGATGTAATTCAGATAATTAACTCTGTAAATGTCATACGCCTTTATCTATCGATGTAATTTAGATAATTAACTCTGTAAATGTTATACGCCTCTATCGACACAATTTAGATCTTTTAGGAGGCGGAGTGCTTCCACCTTGCCTGTATGGTCAACCCGGGTTGAGTTAAGGTGAGTGAGTCGATTTTGACGGAAAATGTTATACGCCTCTTTCGAAACACTGACGATATTTTAGGAGGCAGGTTTGTTTTGTGTTCCCGGCCCATGCTGTTATACAGAGATTGATCATACTTTCTAAGGTTGAATGATAGAATATGGACATCAATGTTTTATCAGTTTTAAAATACTTGAGCTTCCTCAGAAAAAATAGTCTTTTATTCACTTTTTATGCAGGAGAGACGTGTGTGTGTGTGT